TTGACAGTATCTTGGATGTTTCCCGACACTCTCAGGTAGTGAGAGTTGCTGACAGGTCACCTATGGCGTTGGTGAACCGCGTAGGTCAGCCTCGGATGGCTTTACCTACATTTGTCAGTTATCCAGCATCACATGCATATCGTGATGGGGGACTTGGACTACTATGGGACAGTACCCTACATCAGTTGGTGGAGCCCAACGCTGATGAGAGAGAGCGTGCGATGGGGTTTCTTACTGGTGTGACCGCGGCTTCTTCAGTTTCAGAGGCGTTGCGTCGTCAGGTTTTGGGTCAGGCTATGGACATGAACTGCTTGACGTGGATTGTGAGCTTGGGTTTGGCCGAGCAACGCCGTTTGCGCGCAGATTTGGTGGTTGTTACACCACTTATTAGCTCATTGCCTACCGGGACGGTAGTGGCAATGGCTGGGGGCGACAGGCGAGATATTCGGCATCCTTGGAGTTTATGGGACGTGACAAAAGGACTTGCTAGAGTTGCAGCCCATGCAGTTGGAGAGGATTCTCAGGTGGAGGCGGCTACGAAGGAGGGTACGGAGAATCCTTCTTTGCAGTGTGTAGCGTAGCAACCATTGACAGTGTCGCCTCCCTCTAGTGTGCCTATGGAGGAGGAATGGGAGCCATTGATTGGTTCCCAGATCACAGGAGGAGAGAAGCAACGATTAACACAATTCCTACGAGACTATAGGAGTTGTTTTGCCTTCAGTATGAAGGAGTTGGGTGCGTTGATTGGACCCGGTATACGGATAGAATTGGCTAGTGATACGCCAATCTTCCGTCGTCCTTATCGATACAGTGAGATGGAGAGAAATTTGATTCGGAGTAGGACGTTGGACCTACTGGAGGCTGGACTAGTGGAGTTATCGCATGGTGAGTATGCGTCAGCCACTGTCATGCCGGTGAAGAAGGATGTACATGGCAACTACACGGATAGGCGCATGTGTGGAGACTACCGTCCTATCAATCGGCAGACGAAGTCCGATAAGTATGGCATGCCTATACCTGAGGAGATCTTCGATGTGGTGGGACATGCGAGGATTTTTAGTACTTTGGATCTTCGGGCAGTATACCATCAGTTGCCAATTCGGGAGGAGGACAAAACCAAGACAACGTTTTGGGGCGTCAACTCCCACGGCAAGGATTGTTTGTATAAGTGGCGATTCTTACCCTTTGGGTTGAAGAATGCACCTGCCGAGTTTCAGAGGGTTATGGACAGAATCCTGGCGGGGCTGGATTTTGTCAGATGTTACATTGATGATATCTTGGTGTTTAGTGACACTGTGGAGCAACACAAGATACACTTGCAGATTGTGTTTGAGCGATTGAGGGCTCATGGTTTGAGGTTACATCTTGGGAACTGTAAGTTCTTCCAGGAGAAGGTTGAGTACTTGGGTCATGTGATATACCCAGGTGGTTTAGGAGTTCAGCAAGCAAAGGTGGAGGCTATTGCACGCATCCCTCGTCCCACGGATGTGAGTAGAGTTCGTGCATTTATGGGTTTAGCGAACTACTACCGGAGGTATGTGATGGGTTCAGTGCTATAGCCAAGCCTTTGAACCAGTTGCTGAAGTCAGATCAGGAGTGGCAATGGGGAGATGAGCAGGAGAGAGCTTTTGTTGAGCTCAAGGCCAGGTTGGTGGCCGCTCCCATCTTGAGGAGACCTATCAGAGGTCGTCCATACCAATTGCACACTGATTGGAGTATGTTGGGACTTGGAGTGGTGTTGACGCAGCGTGATGATGAGGGCAAGGAGTTTGTGGTTGCGTACGCTAGTCTTTCGAACAATGCAGCGGAGTCGCGGTATAATTCGTACGAGGAAGAGTGCTTGACAGTGGTGTGGGCTGTGGCGCACTTCAGGTGTTACTTGTTTGGTACGCAGTTCACCCTTGTTACTGATCATCAACCGCTCAAGTGGTTGATGGAGTCCGACAAGCTTATAGGGAAGCTTGCACGGTGAGCTCTCATCTTACAGGAGTACGACTTTCAGGTGGTGCATAGACCTGGAGTTGCGAACCTAGATGCCGATGGTTTGAGTCGAAACCCATGCACTAGCCAGGAGGATGACACTGGAGCTAGATGGCATGGTGAGGTTGACGAGGAGATGGTGCCTGGTTGGCATGCATCTGCCTTCATGTGTTGGTTAAGTGGAAACTCCAGCAGAGAGGATCATCTGACATCTTACTCTAGTAAGAGAGTAGATGGTCGATCTCCAGATCTTGAGGTTGAGGATGGTGGTGTGGATCAGCGTGATGTACACGATGATGCATTGGTGTTGGAGTTCCCACGGACCAGCATGGTGCCAGGCACAGTGGGTGCCAAGGAGCGAGATCGTGTTCTCCAACGGGCCAAGAGGTACCGATTGGAGGGATCACATGTTCTCCGAGTGTGGGAGGACGAAAGGGTACGAGTAGTACCACATCCAGCCCAGAGAGCACGCATTGTGAGGCATGCTCATGAGGAGTTGGGACATTTTGGAGTGAAGCGTACATACAGCTTACTCCTTGGTCAGTATTGGTGGCGTGGTATGCATACTCAGGTACAGCAGTTGGTATCACGTTGCATGGTTTGTGATCGAGTGAGGGCATCATTCAATGCCCCGACACCAGTGTTACATCCATTACCCATCACGGGGTTGAGTTACCGTTGGAGTTTGGACTTTGCTGGACCACTACCTTTGACTGTACGACATCATCGGTATGTGTTGGTGATGGTGGAGCATTTCTCCAAGTGGATTGAGTTGGTGGCATTACCTGACAAGGCAAGTGAGGGAGTAGCGTATGCTTTTCTTGACAGAGTGCTTAGTCACTATGGTGCACCAGCTGAGGTGTTGACCGATCAGGGAACGGAGTTTCAGGATGGGTTTCAGGTCTTGTGCGACAAGGCACTGATTGATCATCGGACCATGTCGCGAGATCATCCAAAGGCGGATGGTTTAGCTAAACGTGTTGTACAGACGGTGAAGAGGGCGTTGCGCAAGTATGGTCTGCAGAAAGGTCATCTTGGGGACTGGGATATCCAGTTACCGTGGTTGGCCATGGGATATCGGTTCAGTCGGCAGGCATCCTTGGCTTCCTTCTCACCATATTTTCTATTGTACGGCCGAGACCCAGACTTGCCAACACGCCAGCTAGGGGGACGAAGTTAAGTTAAGTTAAGTTAAGTTCTAAATAGAAACATGAGATTTTTTGTAGATAAATTATTTATAATCACGTTAATATGTGATAAGGACAAATGAAAAGCAAGATCAAGTAAATCACGATAGCATTTTAGAATTTGTGAAAATCTTTAAATTGATGTATTTTTTCATAGAGCAACATGTGATATAAAAAAGCTTCAACTCTAGAATGATGAAATATGCATCAATATTGAATGAAAATGAACACTTACTTATTCTAGATGTGTGCACAAAAGAAACTATCACTGTTTTTTATTTTGAAAGCTAGAAATTTAGAACAGCATAAGATACTTGATGGATAGCATTCATGTAAAAAGTATATTTTGAATTTTTTCATGTTTAAAAAGTACATATATGAAACATCCTATATCTAAAGATTTTTTTAAACACATTTCATTATGAAGTGGTACTTGTGTAAATGACTTATGGTTTGTATTATATTAAATCTAGATTATGTTTTTCTTTCAACAAAAAAGTACGCATTCTGTAATCAAAATATCTCTGTTATTATTGAAAGAAAAAATTTCTTCTGCAAACCTTCATGAAGGTAGATTTTAGTTCATTGTCATACATACAGAACGATGAACATTCAATGCTTACATTTTTTTCACAAGTAGTATTTGTAACCACAAAATCTACACCACTGAGCTTGAAATTTCAAACCAATAGTAGATCTATCTAAATCCTAATGCAAGTCATAATCTGTGAGATATCTACACTTTTAGCCATATTAAAATAGTCCAAAGGCTGGAACTTGTTCAAGCCCGCATCCTTGAAGAACCACACCTTGCCAGAATTTAGATGTCCGTAGAGTGGAAAATAAAGAAGTCTTCGTAGTATAATGTATTTAGCTCTATTACTAATCAAACTAACTACATTCATACTTTTGTGTCATAATAAACATCTCATACCTAATGTCAACCTTGGTAGTTGTACTGCACAACCCAAATGGAAAACTGGTCATATGGATCCATGTCCATTAGTATCACAAATTCTCTCAATGTATAGATATACACTAAATTGTACCGTAATCATATATTATACAAGGTCTATACTCTAATTTTTTAAATTTTATTGCAAACTATTTTATCCACACGTGTAAAGAAAATGGGTGGAAGAAGTAAAAACTTAACCTCATAGTAGTGGTGGGAATCCGAAAGCCCTAATGCGTGGTGTAATACTCTCTACTCTTGCAGGAGAAAAAGTTTAAAGAGTATAAGGGGAATGAGTTTTCTTCATGTTGATTTGTATAGACTATAGTTTCATACAAGAAGATACATCCTCACAAGGAGTTATGCTACAAACTTCCGATATCATAGAAACTTACCAGCATCTCAATTTCCACGAGCCATGCGATATGCGGGGAGTCGGAACCGGGTGCAATTCTCGGAAGGCAATTATCCTAACCATTAAACTATTACAACGATGTATGACATCATCCATGGAGAACTGCGTTCATTACATAGTTGATGTAAACCGTCATCTTCATTCCCTTCCTTTAACGAGACAAGAGGAGCTGAGCCGAGGATTGTTTTGTAACAAAGTATAAGCTATAGGCTAATTCGATATTAAGAAATGCTTGGACACTATCAACAAGTAAATATTAATGTCAATATTAAATGAAACCTTCAAGATAATAAACTTGAAAGTACTTAGAATAAAATTTAATAATACAAAAATTATGGATGTTGAACTGAGAGGCCCGGGGTTTCTCGGGGAAATTGTTCTTGCAATTTACGTGAACAACAGTTGTCACAGACCGGAAATATCTTCAAATGTTGAGGATTCGAGAAGTTACTTGGCCCCCTGTCTTCCACTTCGAGAACCTGTGCATGGTTTGTCACGGTAAGAGAGAGAGAGCGAGCGAGCAAGCAGCGAACCTTCTACTGCACCAAATGGCAGCCGTGCCCTGTCCCGACGCGGATAGAGAATTGCTCGACGTGGTTCACAGTGAACCAGAAGACGTCGTGCTGCAACCGAGTGTGAGCAAGAGCCTACGTGGCCCAGATAAGGCATTCTCGTGAATATCCAGGACTACGAGTGGCTGGCTACCGACGGGCCTTCTGCCCGACCTTTATTCTGTAGCGTCAGGCCGAAGATTGCTTGCTCGGCAGGAGAAGTGCCTCTCAGCTCCGTTGCTGTCACGACCACCGAATCTCCCCCTGCGGTGCGCTGGAAGTTCGTCCGTGTTCATATATTGTCAGTCGGAACTTGCAGAATTTTAAAAGTGCGAGTGGAAGAAAATCAGAACGCTAAGGTTGAGAATTGTGGAGTGAGGTCAGAGGACACGAATTCGCCAGATTATTGTGGAGCTGAAATCGCCAGATTATTCGAGTTGAGGAGTGGCGATGGCTGCGTTGGCAGTTGGCTTTTGCCAGCCCTGTGCATTGTTGAACGCCCCGATCAGAAGGCTTTCTGTGTGCAAGAGTGTTAGTGCTGGAAGATTAGCATGGGATCCTTTGCATCGGCGCACAGGGTTTAGTCTTTCTACCCTCTCGAGTAGAAGAGAGCCTAAGCTAGTGACATCGTGGAGGGCCAGCTCTGAGGATGAAATCGAAGTGGTGGAAGCGCGTGAAAGCGTCGAGGTTTCGAAAGGATTTCTGGAAAAATTGACTGAGAGTTTGAAAGATTCTTGTAGTTCGGCTGTGAAACCTGCTTTGGCTGTCTTCCTCGCGGGAATGTTGCTTCTCCAGCCTATGGATGATGCTATGGCTGCAAGTTCGGGCGGTAGGATGGGTGGGCGTGTGTTTAAATCGGCGCCAGCTCCAAGCAGGTCTTACTCCGGTGGTGGTGGTGGTGGAGGAGGCGGCGGCAGGGGTTACGCAGCTCCTCCAATTTATGGGTCGCCTTATGGATATGGTTCTCCATTCGGATTTTCACCCTTTAATCCATTTTTTGGTGGTGGCTATGGGTACGGTGGTGGCGGTCTCCTCCTAGGGCCTTCGATTGGATTTGGTGGCGGAGGCTTCTTCCTCTTTGCCATGATTGCCTTCGTAACTCTTCGAGCCATTGCCGGTTTTTTGAGGAATCGATTCGACGACAGAGACGACTTCGACGATTAAAGGATGTTCTAAGTGCTTGTGGATTTCAGGAGAAGAGCATAGAACTCTTTGAGTGAGTGTACAAATTGTTACTTAGGTTGTAAAGTAGAAAAGTATCAACAAAGATACAATTCAAAACAATTCTTGATGTCAGTTGTTTTTGCACTAAGCTCTCTTGTTGGCATGGCCGTATTTCTTCTCACCACCGGTGATGTCTAGCTTCTGGATCTCTGTCAGTTCATTGCCGTTTTCAAATCTTAACTGTGCCTTTTGTTTAATATCTGAATGGCACTCATATCAACATACACCGATTAGAATTTCACAAATTTAGTCAGATACATTACATCATTTACGGAAGGTGACAGGAATGAGCATAGTATCGTCTGTAATTCTAGTCCTGTCTGCTAACTACATGTTCAGACCACATCATAATTTCTACTCTCGTTGTGTCTAGCGCATTTTATTATCGAGTGAACATGTCGATGAAATATTTTTCGAGACACAAAGTATGAAGTGAAGGGAATTGGCGAAGCAGTGATAGTTGCTGGCAAACGGTCTTAAATTCAGTTTAGTTTCTGGACATGAGTATTTGGAATAGTGACACCGTTTTAAAATCTGTCTGCGATCTCATCCTTTCCTATGCTCGCTTTTTCCACTCAGATTTTACTTACAGCAATTGCTGAAGGTGGGGAATTAGAGCTGTGTGAAAATTTGAAACAAGATGGAATACTCTCAGTCGCTTTTTATACCACTTTTGTAGACAACGTTGTTTTAATCGGTGGCGGTCACTAATATCCTGTGTACCCTACTTGAGTGTATACAGTTTTTTATATGCTCCAATTCTTCTAGCATCTGAAGAAATTGTTGCTTTGAATTGAATGGTGTATGTGAAGATTTCACTCCAACGTAACGTCACAAGCCGAGAATATTCTGAATAAGTCAGCCAACAACGCAACAAGAAACAGAGGTGGTGTTGATCACTATGATCCTGTAATTACTCTGTCAGGACTTCAAATTTGCAAGGATTGCCTCAGCCCTCTCAACTTTGGCCGCCTGCTATGCTATGCTTGACATAACATGAAATCTTTCTACCCTCAAGTACACTTTACGCCAGTAGAACAAGTCGGTTCTGTTGCACCAGTCCTAGTCTTAAAATCCAATCAAGCGCTTATTCACATGAAAATTTGTAAACTCAGCAAGTAAACGTATCAAAATTTGGCTTCAAAAGGTAAGCAACATTCTATGAAGAGGACAAAAAAGTGGCCAATCATGCTGGATTCACCCTGACAACGCGGACTCACTTTGTCAACTCCAGTGTGAAAATCAATATGGGCTAAATGGCTTCACCTACCAGATGATTACATATATGTAATCAATTCATATTTTATTTAATGTAGATCAACTGACGCTAGGTTAGCAACTTCCGAATTCTTTAGACCGTGTCTGGTGAAGGGGTGCACCTGACATAGACATTCTTGAATAAGAGTCGAAAGCGTCAACTATAGGATCACGAGCCGTCTCTCTGTAGTATCAAAAGATCTCATTCAAGCTTCGACTACATCTGTTTGAATGGGCAGACGCATGTGGAAGGAGCTCGTCTAAACGAAGAAAGAGTCATTCACAACAATCAGGTAAGCAACGAGAGCGTGTCACCAATAAACCCGAAAGTCCGAAAAGAGCAACCCAAATACCTGAATATCAATGACCTCAACGTGAGTAAATATATGCATGATGACAACCTGACAGCTTTCGGTATCAAATATCCATCACAGCGTCAGTGAACGATCGGGAGGCTGCATACCGCAAGTTAAAAGGTCGGATCAGTCGATAGGAAGAGGACACTCGTACGCTGCTCACATTTGTATAAGATTCTTGATCGGATATGTGAATGCGTTTCGGATATCTTCTGAGAATTTCCTCAAAGACATTCTTGCAGTGCAATAACGTGAGAAAATGACAAATAGAAGTTGTTAATCACTCCAGTCAAAGCTGTCACGTCCAGGGAACATCCTCATCTGTTCTACAGAGGTTTCTTTTGTCCCGTTCTCATGTATATTGACCTTTGTAGTATCCCCAATTTCTCCTGGGTTGAAATTGTCTTCCACTTTGAGAGCAGATAATATACGAAGGTTCCTTCTTTCTCAAACCATTTCATTCGCTGTGAAAATCACTTTCTCTCTTTCTCCAGCAACCGCAAACAGGTCTAAGCACATAAAATGTGGTTTTTTACTCTCCCTCCAGGGTAAGCTTGGCGAATGAAAAGAAATTTTGAAATGAAAATAGACGCTAAGACTAGCGTAAATCAAATGACGGATGTATGAAGAATGGGTTAAAAACTATCGAGTTTATGAAACCATTCCCTTGAATGCACAAAAATTATGGAAAAAAATCTTTTAAAAAAGGGACAAGATTTTTGACTTTTTAAAATTCATCCCGTCAATTTTCTTTCAGATCTAGACAATCCAAAACTAACTTCCTCAAACCAATATTTCCAAAACCCCATGTGAAGTTTGTTCATAATTGCGAGACTACCTAAATTATATGATCCAGAAGGGAATTTAGTAGATTCATGAAGAGAATTTATTTTGGCAAGACCTTCGGTTTGATAATCATGTCGAGGGCTTTCATCATCTCCATCCCGAGTAATTTAGAAACTTCTTATTTACTATGCTGATTCTAACCTAACGTATGCCATTTGGGCAATCCATGCTATGGACCAGGATTGCACGTAATATATTCTTTGTGGTGTCTTTTGTTTGAAGTACATGAACGAGCTCTGCACTGAAAATGCTGGACATGTACTGATAGCGAGTGTGAGGTATTGAAGGAAGTTTGAGCTCCTTGAGCTAGAGCTTGGAAATATTTCAGCATGCATTGGCACTTAAGTGTATAATAATATCCTACTGAATATACATACTCATGTATATCCCACATGCGATGATCGTATCTCCAGATCTAAAGTGGAGAAGAATATTGTTTCGTCAGAGCATCATACCTTACGCCAAACCCTCGATGTTATTTTCACTTTCGTCAACTCCCTACAATCTAAACAGACTAGGATGAAAATCTAACAGCCAAGAACGTTGCTTACCGAGGTCATATAAGAAACCTGTCAGTTTTGGGGCTTCATCCTTGAGCTTCTGTTCCTCGAACATACCCCTAGAGTACTATATTTGTTGCGACGTCAAAGGAAATGGTCGCTCCCTGCATTTGGCCGAAAACTCACAATCCTGTGTATGGGTTCTGACATCGCCTCACATGATAAAACCTTGTTCTTAGGGTTTCAAATGGATGTTTACTAGACGCCTTGAGTGGAGAGGAAATACATTAATAATATTAATATTAGGCGCTGTACAATTGCGGAAGTACAAAAGATGCAAAAAACAAATTTGAAGTCGAGTAAGACAAGGAAGTCGAAGGTTGTGCAGTAATAGAATAAACAGGGCAATTGAAGACAAGATGGCAAAAGCGTCTCATTTGTCTGCACTCCGGCAGTCAAGGCCGGAATTGCTTTTACGACATCTTTCCGTTAGTTGTCAGAAATGCGCGCGATCCTTCACGGGAGTGGATGGAACCGAAACGAGGACGACGGGGATCCTACCTGCGATATCTTCGGCCGAAAATACACTGCCGGCGAGAGCAAAAGACCGATCTCGCGGGGTGGCGCTGACCTGGTCCCCTATAGGAGACTGACTATCGGCAGTATCGGGAACGTTAGTAGAGGACCCCGGACCCCGGGGCGAGGCAGACATGCTAGACTCTCTCTGTGTGTTGAAGCTGCTGCTGCTGCTGCTGCATCCATTATCCCGCATCCGCAGCGTGATCCGAGTAATAGAAACCTTGCGGCAATAGAGACAGACATACTGAGAACGATAGAGCGGAACGATGGTGTAGACACACCTTTTGTGGTGGATATAAGCAGCCGCTGCATCACACGAGGTTTGAATATCTATCCATTGCATCATCGTCTCCTCTCTTTCACTGCCAACTTTCTCTCCCTCTTCCTTCTCACCAATCTCACTTCCACCTTAACTTCACAATAATTATCTTGCATTTTCTTGGTTCCAAGTTTATACCACCGCCTTCTTCCAAATCCCAGCGGACTCATCACAGCCAGCAATTCCACATTCATCGTGAGCAAAACCTCAAGGGACCTCCTTGCGCTTATGGATTACTGGGCAGCGGGAATCGAGTCTGTGGATCGCAGTAACAGTTTCTAGCAAATATATAGATTGTGGGAAACAGCTCTCTGACTTTTGGATTCATAGATAATCAACACATACCCGACGACACATACAGACGATTTACGTACCCGTAAGCAGATCATTCAATCAATCTGCTCGTGGGTTTTTGATTGCCGGTCATCACAAGCGATCGTCGGGTCGATCGAAGCTCCTGTTGCTGTAGCAGCAAACGACAGGCGTAGGAATAAAGATGGATATCAGCAGATGCACGAAGCTGGAAAGTAAGCCGGGCTCACCGTCGCTCGGAGAGCAGCTGACCGTCATCAGCAACTGCGGCTTGCGCAAAGAGAGCTCCCCAGAGTCGTGCAGGGAAGGGAGAATTCGGAGAGGAGCCCTGGGAGCAGAAGCGGGAATCCAGAAGAGCAAGAAGCGTTTCGTGGGCGTGAGGCAAAGGCCGTCGGGGCGATGGGTAGCGGAAATTAAAGACACCACGCAGAAGATCCGCTTGTGGCTGGGCACTTTCGACACGGCTGAGGACGCCGCTCGTGCTTATGATCAAGCAGCTCAGATTCTCAGAGGCGCTAATACTCGCACCAATTTCGTCCCGGGACCTCTGGCCGATGCTTCCGCGCTGCCATCGAAAGCCGCGAGGCTGCTCCTCCTGCGCAAAGGTGCAGCAGCAGCTGCTGCTAAGAAGGCTGCAGCTGCAACCCAAGCATCCACAGATCAATCCAGCAGCAGCCATGATCATGGCAGGAAACTGATGGCGGGATCCCTCTCCCAACGACAGCAGCTGAAGGCAACGTCGATAGCTGACTACCAAGCTCAGACCTCTGCGAACTCTTCTTCTCTCCACGGCCTCTCGTCGCTGCTAATGAATGCTTCATATCCACAGCAGCAGCAGCAGCATTCTCATCGGTCAACTCCAGCAGGTTCTCCACCGTCAATTAACTTGACCTCTACTTACAATGTGAACCTGAGCTCATGCGTAAACGATTCCAGAATGCAGAAGCCGTCGATGAACAAGCCGTCGGAAAGCCGGGCCTTCGAGCCTGGCGGTGCTGGTGAAGGAATTGTAGAAGATAAGGATTCTGCTCGACTTTTTAGTTCCTGTAACATGTCCGCAGCTGATAATTCAGTTGCCCACTACAATGCCATAGGCAACTTTAACCGACAATTTCTACAGAACAAGAACATTCGTAGCTGCTCAGACTATCCCTACGCCAGCTGCGAGAATGGTCTGATTCGTGAAGAGCAGGATTACAACTGCGTT